TAATTATATTTTAAATTAGTAAAGCTGCTTGATAAGCTTAGGAGCTGAGCTCGGGCTCAAAATCATGGTTCAATGAGCTCAATTTATGAGCTCGTTAAAGTGCTAAGTTTGAGTCAGTCGGCTCGGCAAATTTTCAAACCTAGCCTCTCTCTCATCCATTGGATAAATTATTCCTTGTGGTCACCAAATGTCATTCAGAGGCGAATCAGGATCCGCCACATCACCATTTTGTTGTATATCAATGTTGTGTACCTGGTGTGTGGTGAAAGGACTGGCATATACAAGAAAGAAAGAAGAAGAAAGAAGTTGTATCAAAGAGGAAATAGCAAAAGTATATTGATAAAGGCTGTTACAGAGAGATATATATAGAACTAGTACGTATAGATATACAACCGAAATTACAAAGAATTCTAAGACTAGCTGACGCGTCAGTTAGGAGGCCCCCTCAAATTGAGCATTTATATGTTGAATGGTTAATTTGCTTCTGAGTTCTTCAAATCGTGTTGTAACAAGAGGCTTGGTGAGGACATCGGCAATTTGATCAGCTGAGCTAATGTGTTTGACGATGATGGATCATGAGTTGATGTGCTGACAGATGAAATGATACTCTATCTAAATATGTTTTGTCAGGACATGAAAAACTGGATTGTTGGCGAGCGCGATAGCTGATGTGTTGTTGCAGTGTCTGGTGGTTGGAGAATGTTGTGTGATTTGGAGTTCTTCGGCTAACCGACAGAGCCATAACATGTGTGAGGTTACTACGGCGAGCAATATGCATTCGACCTCCGTTGAAAACTTGGCCACTGTAGCTTGTTTTTTTACAGACCAGGATATGAGGTTGTTGCCGAGAAATGTACAACATCTAGAGACAAAGTTGTAGGTTGACGCTTTCGGATGCCCAATCTGTGTTAGTGTAACTACGAAGTTGTAGGTTGTCGAATGTGATTGGTAATCCATAGTGTGAGGATCCTTTAATGTATATGAGGAGACATTTTAGAGTTTGAAAGTGATGGTCAGTGGGAGCATGCATGTGTTGACATATGTGATTCGCCGCGAACGCGATATCCGGTCGTGTAATGGATAGGTACTGAAGAGATCCTGTAAGTTTGCAGTAGAGATGTGGATCCGAGAATGGTGTGTCGAGAGCTGACTGGTTTGATTTTGTGGGAGTGATCGGGGTCGGGGCTAGACTGCAGTCGTTGAGACCTACGTTTTGGAGCAGCTATAGAGCATAATGTTTCTGATGCAGAAAATATCCAATGGTTATTTTGACTATCTGGATGTCGAGGAACATAGACACTGGACCAAGTTGTTTAATGGAAAAGTGGGCTTGTAGTTGCTGCATAAGTTTTTGTATCATTGGTTGATCATTCCCTGTAAGCAAGATGTCGTCCACATAAATGAGAAAGTAAAGTTGTGTTTGATTATTGTTAAAAATGAGAAGGGAGGGATCAGAACAACTGAACCTGAACCCAAATTGTTGTAGAAAATCTGTGAGTTTTTTAAACCATTGGCGAGGGGCCTGTTTCAGTCCGTAGAGGGACTTATGGAGTTTACAGACATAAGTTGGGTATTGAGAATAGACGAAGCTTGGTGGTTGACGCATGTAGACATTCTCCGTGAGGTCGCCGTGAAGAAAGGCATTTGATACGTCGAGTTGAAGAATGGGTCAGTTGCGGTGTAGAGCGAGAGTAAGGAGCATCCTTATGGTTGGCATTTTCGCGACGGGACTGAAGGTTTTAGAGTAGTTGATGCCTTGTTTTTTGAGTAAATCCTTGGAAGAGTAGGTGGGCTTTGTAGCGGTCGACGGTGCCATTGGGTAGAGTATTGATTTTGAATGTCCATTTACAGCCGAGGATTGGGTCATTGGTGGGAGGGGGAACAAGCGACCATGTGCCTTGTTGATGAAGAGTGAGGAATTCAGTAGACATTGCAGAGCGCCAGTGTTGAAATTTCAAAGCTTGATTGTATGTAGTGGGAGTGGGTGAAGAGGATACAGTGGTTGAAAGGTCAAAGAATTATTTGGGTTTATGAATCCCATATTTTGCATGGGTTTGCATAGGATGCTACTGATGTGGGATATTAGTTTTGCTGGAAGCTTCTATGTGAGACGAGTGAATCTGGGAAAGTGAGGTAGCCTCCGGCTGAGCTGGGATGGTGGATGAAGAAGTGATTGCAATGTTATGATGCGGTTGAGCGTGGGATGGATGTTTCAGAACAAAGGTTTGGGTTAGAAGGAGTGGGGGGAGGGAGGTCGTGTTAGGCGCAGACATTTGGATGTTAGAGCTTGAATTGGTTAAGTCAATGTATGGGTACATGTGTTCATGAAATGTAACATGTCGAGAGATTCAAATTTTGTTTGTGAGGGGATCAAAACATCTGTAGCCTTAATGCTGAGATGAATATCCAAGGAAGATGCGTGATTGGGACCGAGGTGATAGTTTTTCTTGTGAGTATGGTCGAAGCCATGGAAAGCAGAGGCATGCAAAGGTGCGAAGGTGAGCATATGAGGGAGGATTGTTATAAACCAACTTATAAGGAATTTGTTGAGCTATGGATTTGGAAAGAAGTCTATTGATGAGATAGTTTGCGGTGGATACTGCTTCAGCCAAGAATTGGGAAGGAATGTTGGATGCCTGAAGAAGAGTTCGGGTGATTTCCAGAAGGTGTCTGTTCTTAGGTTATGCAATCCTGTTTTGCTCTGGTGTGTGAGGATAGCTGAGTTGGTGAGTAACACCTTGAGAGGATTGGAATGATTTGAATTGGGTGATGGTGAACTCGCTGCCGCCATCGGATCAAAGAAATTTTGGAGTGGAATTGAATTGAGTTTTGATTAGCGATAAAAAATGAGTGAATTTAGAAAAGGTTTCATTCTTGGAGTGCATTAAATACAACCAAGTAAATTTTGAGAAATAGTCGACGAAAATTACATAGTAAATGAAACCATTTAAGGATTGTTGCGGAGCGGGACCCCAAACATCGGATTGAATTAAAAAAAATGCGTGAGGAGAAATATTAGAACTTTTATTAAAAAAACAGTTTGTGGCTTTTAGCCATGTTACATGAGGTACAAAGAAAATGTTCAGAGGCAGAGGTAGTATCAGGTAGCAGCTGGCGAAGAGTGGTGAGAACCCCATGATGAGGGTGACCGAGCCTGTTATGCCAAAGGATTGCCGAGGTCCTGGTAGCAAGGCAGGTTTCCTGTCAGGTAGGAAAGGGATTTCGGATAGTGTACAACCCATTATGCAATCGACCAAGAAGAAGAGGGCGATTGTCCTGTAAATCCTTAATGACAAACCCATTAGCGTTAAAACAAATAGATACTTGGTTATCAGCAGTTAATTTTGAGATAGAGATGAGATTGTGAGTTAATGTGGGAATGTGAAGGAGGTTTTGAAGATAGAGCTTACAAGCCGAGTCGGGGAGCGGAAGAAGGCCTTGTCCCGAGTTATGAATGGATAGTGAGGATCCATTTGCGACAGATAGAGTCGGAGCCCTGATATGTTGATCTTTGTTGGAGATTGTTGAGATCCGGTGTAAGGTGAGTTGATGCGCCAGAGTCAAGAATCCAGTCGCTTGTGGCGTTGGTAGTTTGCTGCGTTAGAAGCGCTCTCGGGTTGAACAAAGGTTTCTGTTGGGGTGTATTTGAGGTTGCACCTGTGCCAACAATTCAAGGCAGTGTGACCAGGCTTACCGCATATTTGACAGTATGGACAATCTTGTTGCTTTAGAGCAGAGGACGCGTCAGTGGAGCCGTAATTGTTGTTCCGATTGGCGGAGGAGTGGTTCTTGACAGAGCAATAGGAACTTTTTCCATGAGCTGGATTAGAGGTTTGAACGTAGAGTGCGGTTGTGTCCGCTTCCGCCGACATTTCCCTCTGGTTTTCTTGGTAAATGTTGATGTCTTCACTGCACAAAAGTGAGTAGAGAGTATCAAGATCGATGGGGACGAGGGAGGTTCGAATCGCCGTCTTGAAGGAGTTGTACGTGGATGGTAATCCATTCAGAATACAGAGGATAATGTCCTTCGTGTCTAGTTGCGAGTATGAGACGACAAAATTGTCGACGAGAGTCTTGATCTGCATGAGGTATTGTTGCATAAATGAAATTCACATTTGAATGTGGTGTAGCTCGTTCTTGAGTTGAATAACTCGAGAGCGATTTGAGGGTTGCATTCGTCTTTCAAGAATTTGCCACACCTCATGGGCGGTTGAGGATGATATAACATAAGGAAGAATAGTGGAAGAGATTGTTGAAAATAGCGCAGAGATTAAGTTCCAATCGATCAGGTGCCATTTGGAGTAATTTGTGCTGGTAGTGTCAGAAGGACAGGAGATTTCTCCCATGAGGAAACCGGCGAATTCGTTTGCCGTGAAGGTTTGGAGACGCTGCAGACGCCATATGTTGTAGTTGTCGGAGGTGAGGGGTGAGGGAACCAGGTTCTTTAGGTTTGAGATGATAAATTTTAGAGTTGCAGGGATGGTGAAATCTTGAAGGTTGTTTGTGGTGGTGGAGGAGGGAAGCAGAGAAGCAGTAGAATCTTGATCTACCATGGAAGAGCCATATATATATATAACTAGTAGGTATAGATATACAACTGAAATTACAAAGAAGCCTAAGAATAGCTGACGTGTCAGTTGTTCTAAGATGTGGCGCATCCTGATTCATCTTTGGACAGTCCGACCTCACATAATAATTTCTGCATCCATGGGGGGTCCAAAGCCAGCAAGCATATGGGGCCTGGAAGGGGGTCGTGTAGCCCGATTTAAAGCCAATTAGCCCAAGTTCCATTTAGAGCCCAATGTGACTAATTAGAATTTATAAGATTGGGCCGGGTGCAGCCATCCACCCCAAACCTTCGCGAAAGTTCCAAGAGAAATTTAGTTTCCAATACTAGCCTTGAGCCAGCTCCAGCAAAAGGTTAATAAAATGTAATTTCGCTTCAATATTCGTGGCATTTATGTATTTTCGTAAGCATCCCGCTCGTCATAAACCCTAATTCTCCATGAAATTCTAGAGGCTAACAAAACCCTTCGCCGCTCTCTCGATCCTTCTCGCGACCGCAAATGGCCAAGCGATTGATACCGTCTTTGAATCGCATTCTCGTGGAGAAGATAGTTCCTCCGTCGAAGACTAACGCCGGTATCCTTCTTCCGGAGAAAACGAGCAAGGTAGCGTTAGATGCTCTAAATCTATGAAATGTGATGTTGATTTTTATGGGCATGGAAAATGGTTAGTTATTTGATGCTGCGACCAGAATGGTTCTAAATTCGAAATCGTGGTTATGGTTCGTTTCCTTGGTTATTTTCTGTTATTTTCCTTTTTCTCTGGGTCTAATGAGGTTCTAGTGCGATTTGATGCTGAGTTTGGAGTTTATCTAAATTTGATATGTTGGTCTGGTTATGTTTATTAGGTTAGTTTCTGTTGTTTCCCGTTTTTTTTTATCCTGGTTTCAAATGAATCTGCTCTGCTTTGCTGAACGAGAAGTTGTTACTTGTATGGTTACCTCTGCAGATATGAGTTCAAAATTATGGAAAGGTTTTTAAATTTGCTTTAGCTTAAACAAATGATCTCAAAAGGAAAAGCATATTCTGGACACGGGGTGTTGGATTTTCGTCACTGTGCTTACTTGTTTTCTAGCAGTTTGCATCATTTTTTTCCTCTGCTTTGACCTATCTGTGATTTTTTAAGTTTGAATTTGATCTGCTATTTTGGGTGCAATTTCTAAGTTAATTTCGACTAAATTGAGTGGTGTTTATCTGTATCCGTATGAGTGTTTTTCTGAGTTAACATAGAATTTTTCTAATAACTGTGTTGATCTCTTCTAATTCCTTTAAAACAAACAAATTCTACGGTTTCTTACCGAAAGAAGTCATCTTAGATTTGCCTTCGCTTGATTAGTTTAGTACTTAGCAGGATTTTTTCGGCAGGCATGTTGAAAAGTTGTTTGCTTATCCTCTTCTTTATCTTTTTTTCTGAAACAGTTTTTTTAGCTGTTGTAATGATTATTTCCCACCATCATAATGCATCTATGCTCATGCGACGATTCTATGATGCGTAAATGGCTATTTGTTTTCTCTTTTGTATTAACATTCTGTTTTTTTTTTTTTAATCCTTTTTTTTATGGTACAGCTGAACTCTGGGAAAGTTGTGGCTGTTGGCCCTGGTGCCCGTGATAGAGATGGGAACCATATACCTGTATTTGTGAAGGAAGGAGATGTTGTCCTTCTGCCTGACTATGGTGGTACTGAAGTGAAGCTCGGAGACAAAGAGTATGTGTATTCATGCATTTAATATAGCAGTTCTTCGTTCAATTTGTATACCTTCTGAACTTGTTTTGTTTTTTTAAATTACATGGCATGAATTCTGCTGACCATATCTGAATTTGGGTTTATTAATACATATTAAATTGCATGCTTTGTATGATTGGTGAGTTTGTATACATGGATATATTCCCTGTTCATGGTCACAATAGGTGAACTTGTTTGCTTTGATAGCCATTGCTATGTACTTATATGTTGTCCATGATAAAGAATGTTCATGATGGCAAATTATTCTTTGCGGAGTCCGGACTGAAAGAACCATTTGGATTGCTGCGTATTTGTAAATACTCAGTAAATACGCAACAAATCAGCAAATACTCACAATTGAGTATTTGTTGAGTATTTATAAATACACAGCAAATCCGGATGGTTCTCGCCGTCTGGACTCCGCACGTAATAATTTCGTTGCTTGAATGCTCATCGTGTACATTTATGTGAAATGCAGACGGATGTATACAAATGGAAAATTATAGTTTTTTGCTTTAATTTATTATTGCTTTTGCTTTTGCTTTTGCATATGTGCAAATTCATATCTATCTATGTTTTGATGGATATGTATGTATGTATGATGATTCATCAAATAACGTGCTTTTAAAGATAAGAAAAATCAAAACTAAAGAAGGTTTATTTTTCTTAGTATAGTTTGCATACATTATTGGACCACTGTCTCCCTCTTCATGTTAAGGATAAAAAAGATAGCAGATTGCTAAACCCAATAAAAAAGGATCAACAATAAATAGTTCAATTGCAAGAAAAAGCCTTTGAGATTGAATGCTTTGGAGAAATTCATTCACTGTAATGTTTTATTTATGATGTGGATGCTTTTAACCCTTTGCTATGTAAGTATAAAGAATTGCGGTCATATATGTTTTCTGGGCTTATTTCTAGAGCTTGGCTTTTAAACATCTTTTTGTTTTGCCGACTCTCATCCATATTTTTATTGTTTGGGAGAGCTATGTAAACTTCTAGTTTACTTGAACTGCTTTTAAAAACCTTTGTACATAGGAAAATTGTTCTTCGAGATTAACCATAATATCTAGTTTTGTTCTATATTCTTATAATTGATTTAAGGCTGTTAGTGAAGCTGTGGGTAAATTGCACATAAATCTTGAAAAGATATACAAAAAGTTGTGTTATCGATAGAAAATTAGGAAAATAACTGTACTGAAAGAACTTTTGAATCAGCAAAGTTAGATTGCCCTTTCTGTACTGAAGTATATGGGGTTATGTGCTGTAAGAACTATTTAAGGCACTATTGATGCAGAGTTTTGCAAATTTCAGGAAATTTCAGGATGAAATTGAACCGTTTAAGAATTCGCTTCTTTGGAAGCTTTCAACTTCTGCTGGTTTTTTTTTGGGGTTCTAGTGCATGTATGACTTATCTTAATAACATATTTATAACTGGTTTACTAAACCTTTAAGCTAGATTTAAGCTTTTTTAGGTTTAAGTGTATTTAAAACCCTTAACGTAATTAAATTTCTATTAAGTTATCTTCACTAAGTGTTGTTTTAATGGACCCTTTCATATAATCATTTATCAGTTTATTGTTCAGTCTATCCTTCCTAGTATGATTGAGCAGCTTGAAGAACTTTAGTTAGGAGTATTTTAAGGTAATTTAAGTAATTATCTGCTTTACTTAAATACAAGTGCAAATAAGATTTAATTACTATGATTTTTTTTTTTAAATTTAATTTTACTCTGTTTTGAAAAGTTTTTGTTAAAACACAAGCCTGATTATGCGTATAAACCTATGATGATTAATTTATTTTACTGAACATTTAGTTTATATTAGTTTAAATTTCGTTAATTAAAAAAGATTTGCTCAAGTACTTCAAAAGAAGAGCTTATGAAAAGATAAGCTTAATTTCTTTGAAATGATTAGGTTATAAAGATAAGCTTCATTATGATTGTAAATTTATTTATTTTATTTATTGTTGTTTAATCTATGATTTTTAATGGTCTTATTTTAGTTTTTTATAATTTTATCCTAATATCTTACGTGGTGTTAATATATTATATTTTATTTCATATTTTTACTTAATTTAATGATTCAATACTGAGGCTTATCTTTTGTTTCACGGAAAGAACACCCTCTCAATACTCGATTACACAATTTCAAATCATGGTATTTTGGCAATTGCCTTTCTTTTTCAACTTGGTTTATTGATGGAGAACAATATTTAAACTTTTAATTTGATTCATATTTTGTAAGCATTTGATGTGTATTGAGATGTGACAGGGATATGCTTAGGCTTATTTTGGGACAGCTTTTTTGCTGCTTCTTAAAGAAGCTTTTTAGTACTAATTTTTTTTTTTTAAAGCATTAAGAAAGCCGTCCCAGATGAAGTCTTAGGCTTCGTTTGGGACGGCTTTTTTACTGCTTCATGAAGCAGCTTTCTAGTACAAAAATTAAAAAAGCAGAAAGAAAGTTGTCCCAAATGAAGCCTTAGACTTTTGTTGGATATATGAATAATATGTTGACTAAAAAACATAATTGATTGCCTCTCACACATCCTTAGGGCTTTCATACTCCCTAGGTATTATAGTTGAAGGTTTAGTTATGATTAAGTGGATTACGTTGAGGAATGATTTTTTATAGGGAGAGCTCTTTGGTCAATGGGGAGGTTGTTAAGGCGTGTAGAAGTAATGGCTTAGTCCTGCACATAATAGGTATAAAATATGTCAGTATAGAAGTACGTAGTTGACATTCAACTTTGGCTTAAAAAAAAACGAATTTGAACTTTAGCTTTAGGGAGAAATTATTCTATGCGGATGTCGAACGTAGTTTATCTTTCGAAGACTAACTAGAATACGCTGAGCTAGCAGTACCACGACAGGCACCGAGCAGTACGGAGCTGAGTACCGAGCAGGGGTTATGTGGCGTATCCTAATTGGTGTCCGCACTCCGCACATAAACATTTTTGAATTTTAGGACAACTTTGCGCCCCTACCTATCAATATGAACATCAAGAAAGTTCTTGAGTGCAAATTTATCATAAAATATATGGAGTACTTGTATATTTATTTCTGGTCAGATCCTTGAACAATAATCGTTGCTTGTTCCAACTGTTTTCTCTTTACACTTAGCATCTCTTTTGATAGCTTCCACGTTCTAGAAATCACTTCCAAATACTATTCTCCTATTAAACTAGGACATCAATAGTATGTGAATTGATACTGTGTTCTTGACTTGTGATATCTCTCCAGGTTCCAGCTCTTCAGAGAAGATGATATACTGGGAACACTGAAAGAATGAAGATGAGCAAGGCTGGTTACAGCCATTATTGATGAATTGGGATGAATTTGCCATTCTGTTCATGTTTCCTGTTTCTTGTATGAAGCAGGATTCATGTTTTGAGACTTTAGGGAAGATGAAATTTTCATGGCAGTGAGTGAAATCTTTTGAGAAGAAATCAAACTTTTGAATAATATATAAAATGGGTACTAACTTATCTTTCTGCTCTGTTTATTCACAATTTCTTTGTTTGATGATGGCAGTTTCTATTTTTTGCTTTTTGTTTTTCATTTGATTTTTCCCTTCCCTAATGGTAACATTTTAGCATAGCCAAATTAATTTTAGAGCAATTAGAAATAGAGCAGTCAAAAAAAGCTTGTTCTTTGCGACCTCGAACACCCTAAATGATATTTATATAGGTTTATCAGGATCTACAGTGATTCTAGGCGCTCAATAAAGTTCAATTTGATCTGTTGGTTGAAAGCTTCCTCTATTAATCAAGAGATATTGAAATTGAAGGTTTCTAATGATGTACAACGAGTCGGCCCTAGCTCAACTCGTTAAAAGGTTCGATGAGTCGAGCTGATCGAGCCCACGAGTCGAGCTTGAACAGGATTTCGAGCTTGACGACTTATCGAGCTCGAGTTCGAACAAAACATTGCTTGCGAGGCGAGTCGAGCTGATTGCAAATGGAAATTGTGGGCAGGCATTTCTGCAAACATGATTTTTTGCAGGCAAGCATTTTTCGCGGGTGAGCATTTTCATGGGCAGGCATTTTTCGCGAGCAAGAAATTGCGGTCATAGGTGTCACATGCAGGAAATTTCCATTAGCGGGAAAGTTTCACGGGCGGGATGATATAGACGACCACCAAGGATCATGAGCTGGCTCGAGCTTGTTTACACCCTTGGGCCAGCCTTAGCTATGCCCATAATGGAATGAACATTTGGAGCGTGCAATAATTCAACGGTCCGAATTTTTTCAAATTATTATAATTGAGTGAAGGCCAAAAGTAGTTAGGGTGTCTAATGACTTGGAAGTTTCTAACTAATTAGGTTTGGATAGGACCTCGATTACCTCATTTCGACTTGGCCTAATAATTCTTCCTTTGGTTGTTCAATCATTAATCGTTTAAGAGTGTAAGCAAAGCTTAATTAGTAGTACCCTTTGAGGTATGCTTCAACAACCTTTCCAATGGAATGCTCTATGCATAATTAGGGAGAAATTTTGACTTTCAATTTTAATAAAATGTTTTTTATAATTATATTTACATTAATATAATTTATAGGCTAATCAATTTAATTAAATTTTATCTTTTACTTTTCTTGAAAAAAAATTTAATGGCTATAAAATTTATCTTAATTAAATTAAAATTAGAATATTCTAAACTCATGAAAAATAGAATGTTTTTGTGATCATGATATTTTAATAATGTAATAATAATTATTTATAAATTATATTCTCACAAAATAAATAAAAAACTTTGAGATTCATTATGATTAAAGTTTTTTACTATAATATATTTTAAAAAAATAAAAGGGGTGTCAATAAATATTCCTACTCAAAAAAGT